TCTGACTTTCGCCTAAAATTTACAGTTAGATATTACAAAGCTTAGCGATAAAACATGGTGCGCCAGTTTCATAACCCATACCATATCCTCTTTATCCTGACAGAAAAATCTAGTGTGGTGTCTTTTTTGCACAACAATGAAAGTGATGCCCGGCTGGTACCCAACCTCCAGCTTGATACAAGCCTCACGGATGGCTTTTAGTTCGTGACACAGTACCTAGAAACAAATTTGGCGTCAAAACAATTTTAGTTCTAAAACTTCGCGAAAAACTTCGTTCACTACTGACCACTGACTGGTCCATCTGTATGTGCATGCAGTGTTTGGAAAAGACAATTTTAAAGTATTTCTGTCAAATCAAGAATATAATGGAGCAGCAATCTTCGGCAGTAATGAGGAGCAACTCATATTTACCATAGTAAATATTACCACCTCACCTGTCTAAACTGGCCTTCACTGACTCCATCACGATAGAAAATGATCCTGACTGGCTTGTGTCTTGTCGAACGATAAAACTGAATCAACAGCTCACGAACCATGGCCGCTAATTCGGCAATGATTTCCTGCAAGATAAATAATAGAGCAGACGTTAAGATCACGTGAAAGGTTGATTAACAATTTTCTATTTCTTCAAAAGCTCATGGAGCGCAACTCCAACGGCATTTCCGCGCGACTTTCATACCTGGCGATGTGTCTGAACTCGAACTGAAGCGCAGTACCGGCTGGGATGAGCATCCATACTTCCGACAACCTACAAACACAGCAAATTACCTTGAGGTATTCTATTTATAATCTATTGGTTTTCATTTCAAAGTACATTAATTACGCTGAGTGCATTTGGAAAAGTTTAGTATGAATATTTTCAGCGTTAATAGGTAAAATTCACTTTCACTCCTACTCACACATCCGCGAATAAGGATGTTACAACGGTACTAACTGATCTGGTCTCGCGTGTACTACACCTCGCGATTTCTCTCGTCAGTTTTCACCCACCCATCCCACCCTAGTTCCTGTTGTTGTCGTCCTACAGGTCTCTCCATCCTCACTATACAAGATCGAGCAACATCAGTTCGAATAAAACATTTTTGTTTTCAGTCGCTAGTTTGCCATTCCTGTTAACTTTTTCCATCTTCAACCACTTATTTAAACTCCTTTGGGGTCAATCTTGCCATATCAAACAAATATTCAGTGGTTTACCCAAAGTTAAAGATGATTTTGTGTGTTGGTGAAAGACAACTTTTCAAACGTTGTTTTCAACATGAAGC